TTTGATAGTTCTACAGAGTGTAATACACTATCACAATTACAACATATACCAAACTTGTTGAGACCGAAGGAAAGAAATGGAATCTGGAAATTCCCTAGATCCATTAATTTAAGATACTCGTAATTAGGCTCAAGTATAGATACACGATTCGTCTTGCTGTTGTTGCATATGACTTTTTTTATTGAGTTGGTGCAATGCTGTGTTTGTTTGATTTGATGTTTATTTTAACGGATTATGTTTTTCTTTAGAGTAGTGTTAAAAGAATTACATTTACACTTTGAATTACACTTGATTCAATATTTTCATACCTGTATTACATGTTCTGGAATGTTATCTTTATCATATTGTCGCAGAGAATCCAAAAATTTAATGTCACTTAGTAATCTTTTGCTGGGCGGCCAATAATCCAAAATCTTGCTATCTGTGACTGGATCATCAGTTTTAATTGGTGCTACGTTCATCATCACACATATAGCAGCCATAACTAATTTGATAACTTCTGGAGGACTTTTCATGGTTTTTATCACAGCAATATCGGCTGGTTTCAACGTGTTGAGTGCAGCTATCGTTTAAAAAATTCATTAAATAATTTTTATTATAAATTTATTTAATAAAATTATTTGTAAAAATTAACAAAACAAATTTTTAAAGAATAAGAAAAATGTTAAACATAATAAAAGAATAACAAACATAATAATCTTATCAAAATGATAATTGTAAAAAAAAGCCAACTTCAACGAGCTATTAGTAATAACCAGATGTCAACAAATAAAAAGTTAGTGAATTATTATTGCCATAAGAGTCTTATAAAGCGAATCATTACAAACGTAAACGTTTTGACTGCACTACAGTCTTTATCAATACATAATTTTAAAAAATCAATATAAATTCACAACGATATGTTAAAATAATGTGTCATTAAGTATCATCCAAATGAAAAAAAAATGAAATTTTTGATTTATACAGGTCACTAGGTTTTCTTCATCAACAATTTTTTAAATACGTGCAAATATTACATAATAACATTCCGACATATATATGGAATGAAATATCGAATTACCATTCCATCTTGTTCAATAAATTCTATTACAATCTACATCACATACACAAGAAGAAATTTTTTGGTTGCTACATTTAAATAAATTAAAATATTTAAAGAAAATTGAACCTATAGAATTCGGTTGCGTTATGAAAAACAAGGACGACTCTTTAACAAATAGTCATACTTATATCAACAATATTATTACCGCTAATGAATTTTCAGACTTGAAAGTCAATCCTTTAGAACAAACAAACACGAGATGGTTTATTAATTTAACAGACAAGGACATCCCGGAAACAGTAACAAATTTAAATAACGATAAAATTAATGAAGTCGCCAGTGATGAGTAACACCATACAAATTTATTGAAATTTCGACCTAATTGGCCAGTACAATTTAATTAGAAACACTACGTTTCGACCCTTAGGTACGGGTCCTTTTTAAGTGTAACTTTCAAGATGTTGATTCGACAGCAGTAAAATTACTAAACCGTTAAAAAACGGTGATCCACGAATTCATCAAAGACATAGAGAGTAACTCTAAGAATTTTAAGAATCTTATAACGATACGTAATGTTGCAATCTCCCAATTCAACTCGTTTCTGAATTATAAGGCTAAGAACAACCAGCTACATAATAAATTGTTGTGATAAATTGTCTTTCATGTATATAGAAACCAAAAAATTCTGTAAAAAGAATCCTAATATCTTATTCACACGAGCTGACAAAGGCAATGTCACGGTAGCAATGACCAAAGAATTTTATATTAAAAAAGTAGAAAGTTTATTAAAAGATAACAATACATACATGGTGATCAAAAATAATCCTGCAGCTAAAATTGAAAGAGAACTAAATAATATTTTTAAAAAATGGATGAAAAATGAGATAATCACTAAAAAAGAATATTACTTTCTACATTCTAGCGACGCCCTTCTTCCAAAAGCATATGGTTTACCTAAAATTCACAAGGATAACGTACCATTTAGAATAATAATATCCTCGATCAATACGGTGCTACACCACTTTGCTTCTTACATACAAAAAATTATAACAAAAAGCATCCCACAAGCTAAAAGTTTTGTTAACAACGGTTTTGAGCTGTGCAATACATTGTCGAATACAACACTAAATAGTGATGAGGTCGTAATATCTTTAGATGTGATATTTTTATTCACTAACGTTCCACTAAATCTTGCATTAGACAGCATCAACAATAGATGGCATTATATAGAAAAAAACACAAAAATATCTAGAGATCATTTTATTGGAGCGATCAAATTCATTCTTAATTCCACATACTTTACTTTTAACAACATTAATTATAAACAAATACACGGTGCACCTATGGGATCTCCGTTATCCCCTGTTATTGCTGAATTAGTGATGCAGGATTTAGAAACGTCGATTCTTAATGCGTTAAATATTGATGTACGCTTTTATTACCGCTATGTTGACGACATTTTACTTTGCATTCCAGAGGATAGTGTCACACAGTTGTTAAAAAATTTCAACAATTATCACGAAAGATTGAAGTTTACATCAGAACAAGAGGATAACCGTATTTTAAGTTTCTTAGACATTTCGATCAAAATAATAGACCAAACTGTACATTTCGACTAGTTTCAGAAAAATCGTCTTTTTCCAATCACCCTATGTGCCATAAAATCGGCGTTATTTATAATTTGATTGATAGAGCTTTACAATTATCACATCCTTTCTTTCAATGTAAGAATCTGAAATTAGTCATAGAAATATTATTGAACAATGGATATTCTCTCGATTTTATCTTTAAAGAAATTAATAGGAGAATTAAATATCTTATCTTTAATAAACTAAATGCAATAGGACATAATAACACTCATAATAGCAACATTAATACCGAAGATATTAATAATAAATTTGTAACGATATCATACATAGAGGGAATCTCAGAATAGTAGCATCAGCAATTAAAAAATCTAACATTAGAATAGGATATCGTTGTATAAAAAGATTAAATAATATTATCGTAACACAAAAAGATAAGAACCATCTCTCAAAAAATTTTAACGTTATTTATAAGATTAGTTGCAAAGATTGTGATGCGACTTATGTAGGACAGACCAAAAGACAACTGTGCACTAGACTCAAGGAACATAAAAATAATATCAAGTTAGACCCAGCAAGACACTTAGTGATAACTGAACACAATCAGAACCAATCACATGCATTTGATTGGGAGAATACTATAATATTAGATCATGAAAGCAATTATAACAAAAGATTAATTTCGGAAATGATCAATATTAAAGAGCAGAAAAATAGCATCAATTTAAATAGACACTGAAATGTTTGACAACAGCTATTTTGATATATTGACAAAATTAGGCGAGTCACACTAGTAAATATGTTATTTATATCGAGTTTCTATCGGATTGAACTTTAGTCTCGCCTGTTCCACAAACACATTAACTTACATAGTAATATAACAACAGCTCGAACATAAGAAATCAGAGACAATAATTAATCCGAAGGAACTTTTGCCGTAATTGTAAGTTCATCATAATTTATCTTTGTACTTTTAGTCGAAATGGTAATTATTACGATCATCCACAGCACATCAATAACAACGTAATTTAATCACAGATCGAGCAGAGAGTTTTGCTAGTTTGACGCTTAAAGAGAACGGACTGCTTTGTTTGCGCCTACCAACGATTTTTTAGATGAATAGAGTTATTAAAGAATGGTTGATATTGAATTTAACGATGATCGGTGAAAGGATTCATTTTTTATAAAATTTTGCATTTTTTGAGATATGTTTGTAGTTGTTCTAATTTTCATAAATTTTAAGATATCGAGATAAATTTTTTTACACAAAGACTATAATTAACTATAATTATAATCTATTACCAATTAGACTACACTTAAAAGTTTGGCGATGATCGGTGAAAGGTTCATTTTTTATAAAATTTTGATTTTATGAGAAATGTTTGATTGCTCTAACTTTTGTAAATTTTAAGATATCGGAATAAATTTTCTTACGTAAATAAATTATCATTAAAAGATTGTTGGTATTGAGTTTTACGATCGGTGGAAAGATTTATTTTTTATATAATTTAGAATTTTTAAGAAATATTCATTTTGTAATTTTAGCAGATTTTGAGATATTGATAACTTTTTTTACATTAATATAGTATCATTAAGGGCTGGTTGTTCCAACTTCTTGGTAAATTTTACCCGCCAAATAGTATTCTTCGTCTCTTTAGAACTTATCTAAAAAGAGACGAAAATATGCTGTGAAATAAAATTTATCAAGAAGATGAAAATATCAGTTCTAAAGGATATTGAATTGATATTGAATTTAGAGAGGATCGGTGAAAAGGTTCTTTGATTTTTGATTTTTCAAAAAATATAAATTTTTAACATCGTCTACATCACTCCAGGGAGGTAAAAGGAACTTAGCAATTAATATCTCAAATACGAGATTTTTCCTAAATAAGTCTTAGCAATTGCTAAACAAATTTTGTGCCTTGTGCACATACACATACATATACGTGACATTTTGAGAAATGTTATTTTATGTGAAAAAAATGTGCAAATTAACAACTTCTTCATCATATTATTTTGCTAATTAGGTTAATTTTTCAATTATAGGTTCTTCATAGAGGAAGCTTGCACATTGCGACAATTTAAAAATTCCGTAATGAATAAAATCAAATTGTGCAATCAAGCAATGTGCAAGTTAAGCTTCTTCTATGAGGAAGCCATAATTGAAAAACAATTCTAATTAGTGAAATAATATGAGGAAGCAATGTGCAAGTTGCCAATTTGCACACATTTTATATACTTTAAATGGATAATTACATAAATAATTCATTAATTTCATATTAATTAAATAAATAATGTATAAATAAATAATAGACCTATTGCCTCGTCTAAGGCTGGTAGAGCTTCAGCCAGATCCGCTTCGCACTCCATTTTCAGTTGCTTGGCGATTTTGGCCTGTGTATTTGCAGTATTTCGTCTTTCTTTACTAAGATCGTTGCTCGTTTGACGCTTGCATCTTCTGTTTCTATCTGCCTTAATGTCTCTGCCGTGTCCTTCGCTGATGCTTCCAACTGCGGCTTAAGCTTTGTTAATTCAAAGCGCATCTGAGAAATTTGTTCAGCTGCATATTCTAGTTTATCTATACCGCTGAGGTATCGCTCTCTATAAAAGATTAGAAGTACATGAATTAATATTTAATTAAATATAGATTTATAAGAAAATTTGTATCCAATGATAAAATCATATTTCGATTATAAAATAATAATGTGAATGACATGATGCGTTAAATCATATAAGCTTAAAATTAAATTTCATATTGTATTCAAGAAAAAGACGTGAATTTTCCGCGTAAAAGTGGATAAATTGGGGACAATGTAGCATGCTATTCAGTAACGTATATATAAATACGGCATTCTGGTCTAGGTCTATTATCTGATGTTTCGGGGTGATACTCTGATGTTTCGGAGGTTTGATGCCATTCGTATCAGGTCTGATCGGATACAAGTTTTTTTAGATACAGTGCATATAGTAATTTATTATTTCCATACAGTAAGCGTTAATACTCTCTTCCAAATAATTAAGGAATCAAGAAAATTGTCTAAAAAAATAGCCTAATTTAAATAACTGTAACTTTGTTTCGAACATTGAAAATTTAAATATTAAAAAAAAGATTTTACAGCTTGAAATCTCTATTTTTGAAATGTCATAGCTTTCTTCATTTTTGTTAGAGATATTTGAATATCGCGCGTACAAGATACACTTTCCACCTGTATTGATTCTATATCCTACCGTATCGGTTTCCCCCACTTGTTGCTATAGACCTGCGCACATACTTATGAGAAGGGCTGAGTTATATAGAGACTAATATATTTGAGAAGGAATGTACTTCCATCTATATCCTTATTTTTACTAATAGTGATATTTAGCCAGTCTATTATTATTATTGTATCAAGAAGATTATCAGAATAAAGAAAAAATTACTCGAAACCCAACAATTTTCTTCAATTGTGATATTTTTTACATGCAGAAAACATAACGATATAAAAAATTTTCTTCTTACTTTGTAGACGTCGCATGCACAAGATTTGACATTTTTTTTACATTTTTATGTTAAAGTCCAAAGTTTTCCCTACAATCGTTTTTAAAATCAAATTAAAATTTTTCCTTATCAAGTTATCAAATTGAAAAAGAAATGGTCATTTTCACTTTGATTGATCATAACTCCGTTAATAATCATTATACAACAATTTTAGGAATGGATTCTCAAAACTGAATCTTTGTTCTACAGTGTGGTATTGAATTATATCCATAAAAAAACTTACCTTTTTAAAAAAGGTATAAAAGGCGACAAGTTTACGTGCTCATGTGAAAAAGTGTTATACAAAAAAACAGTGTTTTTAAATTACTATAAAAACTGCTCTAAAAAATAATGTCATTTTAATTTTATACAATATATTTTTATTGTACAAAATGATTAAATATTTCTAAAAAAAAATGATATCAAAAATTGCGACAAATAAAAACATTTTATACTATAAAATCTTTTATTATAATTATTTTAAGAGTTTAACTAGGCTCTGTAATATAAATATAAATTTAACATATATAAGATAGGCAATAAGAGCCAAATCGCGGATGACAGTGCGTTATTCTAACGAAACTAAATTTTTCGTTAGAATTAAATACCTGTGCACAAGGCACCCAATTTTACTTGGACACGGCCAAGATATAAAATTGGAATAATCTCTACAAGAGATTTTTAATTCCATGTATCCCCTATTCCCCCTAAAGAAATAAATGCGAGAGAAAAATATAGATCCGAAAGTCGCAGAATCGGGAATCGAACCCGAGACCTTTCGCTTGCCGGGCGACTGCTCTTCCAACTGAGCTATTCAGATCCTTTCGATTCTATACTTTTCTCTGTTATATATATTAATGTTGGTAAATAAACGCCTTTAAGCCAGCGTGTGCACAGGTATTTAATTCTAACGAAAAAATTTAGTTTCGTTTAGAATAACGCACTGTCATCCGCGATTTGGCTCTTATTGCCTATCTTATATATGTTAAATTTATATTTATATTACAGAGCCTAGTTAAACTCTTAATTTATACACGCTGGCTTAAAGGCGTTTATTTACCAACATTAATATATATAACAGAGAAAAGTATAGAATCGAAAGGATCTGAATAGCTCAGTTAGAAGAGCAGTCGCCCGGCAAGCGAAAGGTCTCGGGTTCGATTCCCGATTCTGCGACTTTCGGATCTATATTTTTCTCTTGCATTTATTTCTTTAGGGGGAATAGGGGATACATGGAATTAAAAATCTCTTGTAGAGATTATTCCAATGTTATATCTTGGCCGTGTCCAAGTAAAATTGGGTGCCTTGTGCACAGGTATTTAATTCTAACGAAAAATTTAGTTTCGTTTAGAATAACGCACTGTCATCCGCGATTTGGCTCTTATTGCCTATCTTATATATGTTAAATTTATAATTATTTTATTAAATAATTTTTTTTATAGAAATATTTTACAAACAACAATTAATTAAACATGACTCATATATTGTAACGCAGCAAATTATATAAAAAGATCAAATGTGACAAACGATTTATGATTGACAATAATATCTTATTTGGATTAAAGAGGATGATAGAAAATATATATCTCATTTGATATTGTGAACCATATAATCACTCGTTACGATTGGTCTTTAGAAATATTTTAACCAAAAAAAATAGAAAAATTTATGTTAAAAAAACTTGGCGCTGCTAAATTTTTTTTAAAATTACTGTAATGTATCTGTAAATCTTAAAATAAGAAATAATTAATTATATAAACATTACATTAATAATTATATATTTATTTAAACATTATATCAATAACTGGAATATTAATAGAACAATTAACTGGAACATAAATGTATATACAAAGTACCTTAACATTATTAACATATTATGCAATTTAGCAACGCCAAGTTTTTTAACAAAAATTTTTCTTTTTTTTGGTTAAAATATTTCTAAAGACCAAATGTAACGAGTGATTATATGGTTGACAATAATATCAAATGAGATATATATTTTCTATCATACTCTTTAATCCAAATAAGATATTGTCAATCATAAATCGTTCGTCACATTTGATCTTTTTATATAATTTGCTGCGTTACAATATATGAGTCATATGTTTAATAATTGTTGTTTGTAGAATATTTCTATAAAAAAAATTATTTAATAAATAATATATATAAAGATTTTATAGTATAAATGATTTTATTTGTTGCAATTTTTTATATCATTTTTTTTAGAAATATTTAATCATTTTGTACAATAAAAATAAATTGTATAAAATTAAAATGACATTATTTTTTAGAGCAGTTTTTATAGTAATTTAAAACACTGTTTTTTGTATAACACTTTTTCACATGAGCACGTAAACTTGTTGCTTTTTTTTACCTTTTTTAAAAAAGATAAGTTTTTTTATGGATATCATTCTGTTTTTGTAGGTATAATTTATCTCTTCCCTCCCTCTCTATTATACATACATTGATATCCGCAGTAAACACAGGTATAGATAGATAGATAGATAGA